GTGTCCTTATCTATATCTGACTCCGCAAAAAATCAAAGATGCCGGCTTCTTTCATAGCATTGCCACCGACCGCTGTCGGGTTTCTCGGAAAGAAACCTACGTCGCCGGGCGACAACTAAAATTCAGTTAATATTTTATTATAATCGATCCTGACGAATAAATGAATTTCATAAATGAATGAATTTTATAAATAAATGGTTTTTGCTGCCGAATTACTAGAATACAATATTTCAAGGCAGATGACGGATCTATTCGATAATTTTTATTCGAATAGTTTTCAACGAATGTTTTCTTACTAACAATCGAATTATTCGAATGAATTGCAACTATCGAATGTTTCGATAGTATTCATTCGATAGTTCCCACTACTACATATGACTCTTTCGATGGTAAAACACCAGACCAAAATAATTAGGCTTTGATAAAAAATTACTTTTGAAAACCCGATATGTAATGTAATATTGCGAATATCCGCAAATGCTGTTTATTAATTTTCAATAGCAATAATAATTTATATTTTAATTATGCACTTTTTAATTAGAAATAATTATAAGGGCATGGAAAATTTAAGCTTTTTATCATTCTCGATACTTTATAGTTGTAGCAAAATCCTCTGGGTCATATTTTAACTAAAAAATAGAACAATAATGCCTGAAAGAACATAAAAGTTTGAAATATTGTTTAAAATGTTAAACAATATTTAAAAAAATATATACAGGGTTGTTCACCACATACGACACGGAGTATTGTAGCTAAACGATTATATGTTTACAAATTTCAAGTTTTGGGTTCGATGAAGGACTATTAGAGGTACAATTTAAAAATAATTTCCAAGATACAGAGTGTCCCAAATAAGTAAAAAATATCAAAGTTGTATTTTTTTAAATGGAACACCCTGTATATTATTGCATTTTTAGTTTCTACGATTAAAATAAAGGTAAAGATTACAATAACGATTAAAATAAAGGTTTATTATACTTAAACCTTACCGTTTATGAAATATTTTCAATTTTGTGAAATTGCAGTAAAAATTTTAAGGCTTCATTCCTCCAAGGGTACCAAAGTTTTTAATACTAAATATTTACTGAAGTTTATTTATTGATCAGTTATTGTGTTGCAATAATAAAAATAATACTACCTTATACAGAGTGTCTAAAAATTTATTTTAAATAATTTATAGCTTTAAACGCCAATAACTTGTTTAATTTAAATGGAACGCCCTGTATATTTTAGGAGAATCAGATGCACAATTTAATTGTCTATCAAATTGTATTATACCATTTTTACCTATCCCATCAAGTTTTCGTAGTAAATGCATTTTCTTATAATTTAGACCTCATTCATCAATATACCATACATACATACATCCATGGAATATTGACATTTTATTATTGACACCCATGGAATATTGACATCATATATTGACATTCTAGTAACATTATCGTTTTGCTAAAAACAATAATGTTGTATGCAAAAAGAAAACTATTTAAATCTTTATAAAAGAGTATACCATAAATTAAATATAGCACCATTATTTCCGCCCATATACTAATTAATTACATACTTAATTGTATTCGTTAATAAATTATTCTAAATTAATGTGGATTTGAGTCAGAAATCAATATAATAATAAGTTATCAAAATTAAAGTCTCTATTGTTATAAATAAGCATTTACTAAAAAATGAAATATCCTTTTTAAGGTGTTACTTTTTATCACACTGTCTAATACCCATACAAAATTCGGTTTTTTTAGTATTTGGAACAATTATTATTAATCAATGCAGTCAGTTAATGTAGTTTGAATAATGGAATCTTATTAATTGTTTTTTTTGTTTTAATTGTTTCTTTTTAACAAATATTTAAACGAATGAATGAAATAAACGAATTATATCCACAATATTATTATCTGTACTCTTTAAAAATTTGGTACATCTTTAAAAATAATCTAAAATGTCAATATTCCATGGGTATATTGATAAATAAATTCTAAATTACAAGAAAATGCATTTTCTACGGAAACTTAATGAAATGGTATAATATAATTTGATAGACAATAAAATTGTGCATCTGATTCTCGTAAAATATACAGGATGTTCCATTTAAATTAAACAAGTTATTGCCGTTTGAAGCTAATAATTATTTAAAATAAATTTTTAGACACTCTGTATAAGGTAGTATTATTTTTATTATTGCAACACAATAACTGATCAATAAATAAACTTCAGTAAATATTTAGTATTAAAAACTTTGGTACCCTTGGAGGAATGAAGCCTTAAAATTTTTACTGCAATTTCACAAAATTGAAAATATTTCATAAACGGTAAGGTTTAAGTATAATAAACCTTTATTTTAATCGTTATTGTAATCTTTACCTTTATTTTAATCGTAGAAACTAAAAATGCAATAATATACAAGGCGTTCCATTTAAAAAAATACAACTTTGATATTTTTTACTTATTTGGGACACTCTGTATCTTGTAAAATTATTTTTAAATTGTACCTCTAATAGTCCTTCATCGAACCCAAGACTTAAAATTTGTAAGAATCTCATCGTTTAGCTACAATACTCCGTGTCGTATGTGGTGAACAACCCTGTATATATAGATACTCAATTTCCTGATTTGAGATATATAAACATCATGTTTAATTTTTCAAAGCTAGAAGTTTAAATATTCATGGCAAATTGAATCGTTGCTTTATTAATAGTGGTTAATTTTTAATAATACGCTAACAGCAGGTCGCCAACAAATCCGAGTGCTTCCTGGCTTTTAAGTGGCGCCGATAATCTTAATTGGATTTATTGTGACGTACCCTCGGTGCAAAAACACAAAGTTTAATAAACTGAACTTTATTGGCAACAGAAAATTTTAATAAGAAAGTGTGTTGATTACGGTAAAAGTTGGTTTTTTACTAAAATATACGAGATTAGGAATGCAGCAGGAATTTCCTTCATAGACTACTTTATTATATTAATTAAAATATTGTGTTTAAAAAATGTAAAGTATACATATTAAAAAAGTATTCGAAATAAAAAAAAAAATATATATTTTATAAAATGTAAAAGGTAAAAGTAATTTTTAAATAAGTTATTTAGACTAGTAAAAGATTGTATTATAAGTTATATATATACAGGGTGGTCCGAACTGTGTTCCGAAAACTTCGGCGGCATATTCTGCAGATAAAAATCCGTAAAAAAGTTCGTATACGTGTATTTCCTAAAATGCTTGGTTTCGCAGATACAGGGTCAAGAAGTTTCATTTTTATTTCGATTTTTTCCAAATAATTTATGAAGTAACTTATAACAATATTTGGATGAAAATTGGTTTCTGTCTGGGAGTTTTTTGACATGAAAAATTTGATTCTGATGTCAATGTGACTCCTATTTGTAGGGGAGGGGGGATCTGCATATTTTTAACTGGTTTGAAGAGTAATAACTTTTCGTCCGTACCGGTATAAAACTATCGAGTAAAAAATATACATTTACGACGTTTTTTACGTAAATAAGTAAACTAAAAAATAAATAAAAAACTAAACGGTAAAGATCGCTAAGAGTAATGGTTTTCGACATATTTGGTATCCAAAATATCAATACCTGTCATGAATGTTGACTAAATAGTTATCAGACTGAAATCAGAAATTTGAAGTGTTTTTGTGCCAACACTTCTTTCTGTGCAGTAACTGTTTTATCATCATTTCTTCGTAGAAAAATTTATGATTAATTTAAAAAAATAAAAATTTCCCGAATTTATTATTTCTGTCAAATAATTATCTACTCAACGTGTTTATTTTTTGTCAATAATGACATATATTGAGTATTTCCATTCTAAATATCTTGAGAGCGGTTACTCGTAGCGATTTTTAGCAAGAGATATTTTTTTACGTACAAAGACACGGAAATGTATATTTTTTCACTCAATGCTTTTATACTGGTACGGACGAAAAATTATTACTCTTTAAAACAGTTACCATACATGTAGGTAGCATCCCCACCGTAGGAGTCGTATTGACATCAAAATCAAATTTTTCATAACAAAAAACTCCCAGACACCAATTTTCATCCAAATATTGACGTTACTTCAGAAAATATTTGGAAAAAATAGAAAAAAAATGAAACTTCTACACCCTGTATCTCCGAAACTAAGCATTTTAGGACATACATTATACGAACTTTTTTACTTATATTTATCTGCAGTATATGCTGCCGAAGTTTCCGGAATACAGTTCGGACCACCCTGTATATAGAATTGTTTTTATATTATTCCTGAGAATTTAATTTTTCTCTTTCAGTATTGGTTTGAATATTATCTTGAAATCTTGACTAGTGCTATTTTGGACTAAGAAAATGTATGTATTTTACTATATTGTACAATTTATGAAAGTTGTAATTGTTACAAATGAGAGATTTATTAAAATCTAAAATATATTTTTATATTATTTTTGGAACTATGCTCCAATTTGCAGCTCTCTGATCAGCAAATTATAGATTAATTATAGTCAATGAGACAAAACTTAATATTTATTATTTTTTTGTGGTCAACCGTGGCTTTATTTATTTAATAAAAATATTTATTTATATAAATAGAGCGACCTGCGAGCCGCCAATTCAAGAAAGGCAATGGCAAACCACTTTGAGTATATTTGCCTTGTAGAGCCTCTCAAATATGCCGTTTGGATTTGGCGATAAACTATAGGTTCCGTGTACTTGTGAAACACTGATGCAACACATCACAAGTACATGCAAGATGTAGCCTTGTAGTATGCTATTGGCTTTGCTCATTGAATTAGTCACATAACTGAAAATATAATATTTTGGGTATCGTCTTAAAATTAATTTAATTTTAAAATTATTTTATACTAAATGACAATAACAATCGTTAATCTTGTACAGATAAGTTTTCATAGTTATATTTTAAAATTATTTCCGTACAACTAGATCAAATTAAATCTAACTCTATTTTTCCTATCTCTAAACTAAATCTTTCTTTCTGTTCCAGACGTACTTTCCAACGAACAGCATCCTGTGCATTGTGCAATAGATATCGCGATGCCAACAGACGTCCCCCTTCCATCGTGACGTCACGGCGCCTTTCACCGTCCGTTCGTAGTTGCAACGAACGACGATGTGGCAACCTTGCCGACGCATCTTCGTCCACGGCGTGTTTAAATAATGAAGGCCCGGTAAACATGAACGTCCCCTGAGTGCACCGCCCACTGCGATGTACTATAATAACGGAGCGGGCTACACACACTGTCGCACCGGTTCGGACAGTGTCATACATCGGCGTAGTTCGGCAGCGATCGCGCTTAGTCGGGATGTGGACCCTTTTGACAGCGGCGAGTCAACATTGTCTGATCTCGATGGTAAGTAATTTAGTACAAAATTGCAATATATAGTTCAATAGCAGTTTAATTAATATCGGTTCCCTTTATACAGCGTTTACATGACTTGGGGGTAGCTATATGTATAGAGCTGGCTCTAATAATGCCATTGGTAATTTAGGAAGGTGGTGTGATAAGCACCACGCATCAACCTACGCCTATTATAATTGTTAATCTCAAGTACACATGTTGTATGCATTCAGACTAAATTTGTAGATTATATAGGAGGGGGAAAATTCATCACCCCGACTTCACAGATCTATAGTGTCCCCCTTTCTTGAGTTATAACCCATCATACAGTCTCAGAACTTTGACAAAAACAAGTATCTGTGACGGTTTTAAAGAAGTAACAGAGGTACCAAAATTTATGACACAAATGGTTGTCGCCTCGGCGCGCTCGCTGATGAGGTGATCTGGTATTTCCTCATTTTCCAGATTCATCATTTCCGCTTTAAGTTGGTTTTTACTTGGGAAGTAGAACGGTTCTGGGGTCCAGTAATAGAGCGTGTTTGCTCCTTTTCTAGCTAGATTGATTGCTGCTCTTCAATTTCCTGTATTTCTTATTTCTGGTACTTCCTATCTAAGATAAATTGTACGCACCTTTCGATAGCATATAGTTCTGTCTGAAGGATGATGGGGTTGGGTTGGTTAGGTTAGGTTGGGTTGCTATTCCTGTTCCTACTTAGACTAAGTTTCAGCCTAGTTGCTTCTTAGTGTCTGCTGCAGATTAAGATATCTAAAGTTCTGTAAAAAGTTTTGCTATAAACACAACGTTACTACTTAGGATGGCTGCAACGACGTCCTGTAATCCTGCTGTTAAAATATAACAGCTGGTTTTTATATATGAAAACCAATTGTTATGTTTTAACAGCAGGATTACGGGACGTCGCTGCAGCCAGCCTTAAATGTCTAAACTATTTAATATACAACTTTATTCAATTTTTATAACTAGGCAAGGAAAGTCTAACGTAAATCTGTTAATCACTACTGTAGTATTATAAAAATATATAGAACGCAATACGAATAAATGAGAAACGAATATATATATACCAATAAAATAAAACTCTCTCTCTCTCTCTCTCTCTCTCTCTCTATATCTATATATATATATATATATATATATATATATATATATATATATATATATATATATATATATATATATATATATAATTGTTATAAGAACGTGAAGACTTCAATTATATTTAATAGGGTTACAATGTTGTCAAAATTTCTTCCACTTTATATTAAAAAGAAACGTGCCTCATATGTTTAGAAATTATGCAAAATTTTATTAATTTGGTACTTATAATATTTAATTTATATTTTATTACATATTAAGTCGATTAATATATACAGGGTTAGTCTTAAATAAGTCCAAATGTTTTCAGGACTGGTAGATCTCGATTCAAGAAACATATTTTCTCTTTGCCGTTATTCATATAAATCCAAAATAACCGAGTATTTTGCTTGCCAAAAAAGGTGAATTTTTGATAAAATTTTGAAAATTTTTTTGGATTTTCTTTCTTGTAAATTTAAACTACTACTTATGTTGCCATATTATCAACAAATTATGTTTTTTAACTAAAAACTAAAAAGAAATTCAAAATCTTTTCAAAAAATTTCAATTTTTTTTTGCAAAAAAACCTCATAATCGTGTTTCTGGGGTCAAAATTTACTACCCCAAAAAATATTTGCACTTACTCAAGACCTGTATTTTATAAATCCATTGCACGATTAGAAAAATGCCATCAACAAATTACAAATCACAAAACAAATTCGTATAGAATTACAAATTCCTTTTAAAATGTAATCAAAGAAATAAATAAATCCATGTTAATAAAAAGTCAGCTCGGATTGTCATGGTCTCTAATTTTAAAATTTAGAAACAATGGCAGCCCAATAAGATATGTATATTATTTCATAACTAATCGTTGTCTACCACTGGCTACCATTAACGCATAATTTCGCTATTATTAAAGCATAATACACTAATATAGAAGGTATTGATATTGAGATGAGTCAAGAGTACCGTAAACAATATTAACTGAATAAACATAGTTTTTTTATTAAGTAATTAAAGAAATATCTTAAATTTAGATTTTATTTGGTCATTATATAAAAGGAATGACATTTTTAGGCCAATTTCTAACGAACAAGTTAGAACGAACAAGAGTTACCTATTTTAGTGGAATAATAAGAAACAAGAAAAATAACGTAAAAGTAGCTGTTATGGCAGTCAATATGCAATAAAGTAGTTAACACTGTATAGTGTCTTTATATTATGATTTCCACATCAAAATAGCTGCGTAGGCGAGAATAAGTCGTAATCCATCCGTCGACAAGAGTAACTAATTATTTAAGATACTGTAGTAAAAGCATTACATGAACTATATTCTTACCGATTAAGCTGCTTAACTTACAAAAGGGGTTCCGCCTTACCAGTGTATACCTCTAAAGTTATGTATAATCCTATTATTTACAATGAAACACAACTCATATTTGATGCGAATAATGTACTGGAGATAATAATCTTTTATTACAATAGTATAATGTATACTCAAGGGGAATTAGACTGGGTAACGTAGACAAGATTTATATTTTGTAGATATTTAAAGTAAAGTTGAAATGAAAATTTCTTATGATAATTTTGGGTTGTCAAAAATTGATGTGTTTTTCAGAGCAGAGTCAAATTTCCTATATTTCACTCTATGCTCTTATTAAAATTTGCTAGTTTTTAAGGGTAGTGGCCAATGGAATATATTTTATGTACTAATATTTTTGAAAGCGCTTTTTAATTTAAAATATCGGTATGTGAAAAATAATTGAAAATTGTAATACTATTTCTATATTGCAATATCAATGATTCAAAATTATTTGACAAGTTGAATGTTATCAAAATTAACATACCACCCAAATGTATATATTTTTAAATATTGCAATCAAACATTGCAGTTCGATTTGATACGTCGATTTTAGAGTTTATAAACGAGTTCATGCTAACAATGAATAAACTTTTAATTAAGAAAGTTTTATATCAACAGTGTAGATGAAGTAAAAGCCAGAATACCGAATTTAAATGGCGTTTTAAATATACGTTCTTTTTTATCCACAATATCTCTTATAGTTACATACCTAGTAAAAATATATATTAAATGTAAAATAATTTCTATTTTCGGCAAAAACAAAAATTATTTTCTTTATATCTATACTTCTCTCAGGTACAACAGTATTAAAATATACACGAATATAGGTTAAGCTTGGGGCAGATAATGAAAATTTATTTTTTTCTGCTGAACAGTGCAGCCATTAATCTTTATTGTCCATATATCTTTTAGGGGTCTGCTCGTTGGGGTCGACTCCAAGATAAGAACATTCTTAATTAAGTTTGTACAAAAAATAATTCGTGTTTTAGTTTTGGTGTTACGTAGTTCCTTTGTTCATATATATATTAATTAGATTAAATGTTTAAATTACCTATTTTTTATATATGTATAAAAATATCTGAAGGAACAACTTACTCTTTGTTGACTTGTAATTGAGACTTGTTCATAGAATTGAAATGAATTGGATTGAAAATTAAGTTATAATATCTTAGTTGTTGACATCGCAAAATTCTCCTAATAACTTATATCCAGTAACTATCATTTCACAATAGTTTTTTAACATTAAATACTTTAAATCAGTAGACTACTTATTACCATAATTAATATGTGTTGTTATTCCAAATTAGCTAGAGAGAAGATTAGATATAATTTAGATTAAGTTTTAATAGGTAGCCAATTCGATCTCTAGGGTATCTATCTTTTTTAAAAAGTAAAGCAACTAGAAGACTGAACCCTCAATATAGCTCTTTGTCAAGAATGCATTTTTCTCAAAATGTCAATAATAAAAAAGTTTTTCCACTTGTAAAGACAATTCGGGATATACTGTATATTTACAATATACAATAATCAAAAATAACTTAAATAAATAATCATCCAACATGATGTTGAAAATGAAAACAAAGATAACAATCCCTGTATGCATAGATTACTCTACAGATTCATTATGTGTTCGAGGTTAGGAAATATCGTTATATATTTTATCTGAAGGACAGATTTTTAAATTTGTCAGGTAATGTTTTATATAATTCCACAGCATTGTCTTAAAGCTTTGGCATTGTGAATTTGTTTAAAAATCTGATAGGTCTTTGTACTATTAAACTTCGCGATATTAACTTGATTATTAAATACTGTGACTGGTTCTGAGCAAATAAACGATAAATAAAAGTGGGCAAAAACCATTTTTGCCACCAAAAAGAGTTTTAAATTTTCTGTAATTTATTGGCGCTTATTTTATCAAGGCGAGGATAATAGAAAACATAGATAACATAAGATGTGATAACTGGGAGAGTATAGTTGTTTACTATATGGCTTTAATATTTTCTTTAAGCGTATTATATTAAATTTCAATAAATTTTATTAATAAATTACTGTTTCATTGAAATTTAATTCAAGAACCATGAAAATTACTTCGCAATATTCAAATATCCAAGAAAATATAATTCTTAATTACTTTTATCAAATGGGCTTAGCGATATTGTATTCATTATAGATACAAGATCTTCCTCGTAATGATGTTCGATTTGATTTTCGACGGTTCCAGATTTTCTCCCTGTATCGGGATTATAATGACGGTCTCGTTAAGTCGAAGGGGCTTATACCTAATGTGGCTTTCTGCCAGTTTTTATCAGTTCTTTCCGAGCGCCGGATTCGCGGCGCCTTTCACAACGATAAAACACGTGTAGCATAAATAGAAATGAAGATAATAGAATCGTATCCACCGAAATTATGCTAATAACCGATGACTCGAGGAAATTGGAAAATATGTAAAGAAATTAATGAGATTTGAAATATATGAATGGAAATATTTCAAACATATGATTTTTCTTTATATTTTTTCTTTACATACAATTTTTTTAAAAATTATTAATTAAATTC